TTGAAATTTAATCAAATGGACTTTTTTGTAATTGGAGTAAAAGAGTTTTTGATTCATAGTACTTGGCCGACAGATAGCTCGATGAGTGCCATCAATAAATCCATATATCCTATTGCCAGGAGTGTTGATTGCATCACAATAAGTCTGAAGCCATTCAGCAGTCAGGCGTTGACCATCCTAGTACAAAAACTCTCTCCACTGCTCGTAGATATAAATTAAGGTTCCGTTAAAAACGGTCTCAATCCATGAAATGCTATGACCAAAAACCTTTAAATTAACTAAATATTAGCAATTAAATTTTACTATTACTACTTCATGTAATTTATACAAAAATCAATAAAAATAGAAAACAAATAAGCAAAAAGTACGAGTAAATAGAGATAAAAGTACAAGTAAAATTAAATTACAAAAGAAACAGTTATAAGAACAAGTATACATACATCACAGCAACTCTTATAGTGATTAGGAAATACCAATTGAAATAGAAGTAGAGCTAAACAGGTTTTTAGGGTTGCCTGACAGCAGTTTCCTAGCACTAAATTTTGTAGCGGAAATGCTCATACTAACTCCATGATTTGACCTTTGGTAAATTGAAGAAATTCAAGATATTAGTTGTTGCTCTTTATCAGAAGATTAAACTAGTGCTTGGTATAGGGAGGACGGCCATGATTAGGACATGAAATATGGAAGCATTCATGCTGGATTTGGCAACAAAGTGGGTTCAAATGGATATGCTGAATTGTTATACGTTTTTTCCATTGTCGCTGCTGCATAAGCAAAAAGTGATGAAGTAAAAATAAAGAAATAGACGTAGTATAAACTGTTATTATTTTTTCTGACATATTGTGTGGTTGTGCTATAATCTTTTCTACATGTTTCAAGCATATCATCTTTCTATATACCTACCTACAATCCTGCTTTTTGATATTCAGCCCTTGTCTTTTCTTTCTCCCTTTGTTCTAGTGGCCTCTTAGCTAATATTTACATCTTGGCACTTGCCTCAACCCCCTGCTGCCCACAACCAGCTGTCAGGGATACCAACTACCCCTACCTGAAATACTGCACCCATCTTCTTGGTATTTTATCTTTCCTCATTTATCACTATTACTATAGTTACGGCGTTTCCTGCAGGAATTATCATATTTGCTAGATCCCTCTAATGTACAGTCACTCAACAGAGGTGTTCATAATCTGAGACATGTTTAATTGCTACTATGCAATTTCTCAAAATGGAGGGTGGGGTAGTAGGGTTTGTAACCGGTACGGGTTACTAGGTTGTTTTATTGTATTGTTTCATATGCTATCATTTGATATACATATTGTTTTATGTTTGGTTTCACAGTATCGTTTGATACTTGTAGGGTTTCGTGTGCTATCGGTTGATACACACATTCTTTTATGTTTGGTTTTACAGTATCATTTGATACTTGTATTGTTTCGTGTGCTATCGGTTGATACACACAATGTTTTGCAATATCGCTCATACTGGAGATAAGCGATATGCTGTATTTAAAGATCGCTGATTTCCGCGATGGAAACGGCAGACTTCGACACACAGTATTCTTTAATATACTTGGTTGAACGGTTACTTCTTTGATCTCCTATTACACCACATTCGAAGCCTCCTTTAGCCAGCAGCACTCGCTTTCTGTTGATCATGAAGCCATCTGCTCCTATCGTACCGCTACGTGACTAGGGCCTGGCCCGAACACGTTACAGGGTTGGCATTCAATGTAACAATACCCAGAGGAGTTCAAAGATCAACCCTCAATAATAAATAATCAACCCTCAAGCACTGTCGATTTACAATCTAGGATCAACTCTTAACAAGTGCAGATAAGATATAAATAAAAATAAATTAAGTGATTCAATAATAAGAAGGAGAAAAACTAATACTTCATATCTGGTATAACCTTCCTTTGACTCTAGAACTGCAGTTATCCTATTAGGTATTGACTTCTATCACTTTTCAAAAAACCTGTTAAGAATTGTCTCCCAAACTAAAGGAAGTACCTGAGCAAGCCTCTTTTTCACAGCCTGTTTTCCTCCTAGGGTATTTCCAATTCTTGGGTACTACTAATACAACCTTTTTTTAAGCTCTACCTATACATGTTGAATAGAATTCAAATCAGGAGAATAGGAGAGGTGCTCATATACATCAATACTATTGGACTCTAGCCAATCCATAGCACTATAGGTTTTGTGAACTGGAGTATTGTCTTGCTGAAAAAGAAAATCATAAATACCACAAGCAAATATTTGATAAATAACAGGAATCAAGTGTCTACTTAAGAGTCTAGTATACCTGATTTTGGTAATATGATCCTGAGTAATAAGAACTAGAGGCTCTTTATTCTTACCACAAAAGCATCCCCAGACTATTAAAGATATTCTCGTATTTTTCTCCTTTGAATGAATACCATCATTTAGCCATTTCTCTCCAGCCTCTCTAAAAACCCACTCCTACTTTGGGTCTTTAGATCTCTCTACACTGTACCTATCACACCAGATAACCTCTTCAAAGTTTTCACCAGTTTAATGCCTATGAGCAAGTACCCAATTGAGTCTCTTGCTGATATGCTCAGACTTGATTTGGGGTCTGAATTTGTTTATCCATTTCTTCATATTGGCCTCTCCGAGAACTCTGTCTACTACAATAAATATTGATACCATCCAATCATGTTCTATCACTCTGGTGTATTTACCTGTAGCAAGTGAATCCCCTGGAGTATATTTATCACAGAAATCAGCTCTTGCCATTTTGCAATTTGATTTAGCAGCCATAGTAATTCAGCGATGCTGTTGCTGGCTAAGAAAAGGAGGGTGACTGGAGCAAGGAATATTATCCTGTAATATTCTTTCATAGCACAGAGTAAGAAAACTCTCAATGGTACACCCAGGCTGGTCTACAAGGGATGCTACCTGAGCAATACTGCCCATATAGTAGAAAAATGCAAGAATTATGCCCTTCTCCACATTTATTATTTCTCACTATAAGGTTTGCAGGTTTCTTTTTTTAGTTGCATATTTGACATTCCCAGATCAATCAACAATAGTACATAGAATATGAAGAGAATCTTGAATAGAAATAAATGCAGTTTATCACTGGATACTAAGGTATTACAAAAAAGAACATGGTTGCTTACACCATTGAGTTGTGAGGTATCCACATGTAGTTATTGTATGACTAAGATGAGATATATTTCATCAACACTTCTGTTGAGTAGCTGTACTATTTTCTTACACACTGTATTTAATTTGCTTTTCAAGTTGTATTTCTATAGCAATGGGGGTTATTGACTCTGAAACTGATATTATAATAATTAATATATTCTTAATATTGAATTTTGTGCATGGTACAATTTTAATAGCAATATAGATTATACTACATAAGAGTAAGAGTTTTGTTACAAGCAGGTTGAACTAGAAGAAGTAGTTTGTATAAAGACAGATTGGTAGATATTCTAGTCCTTAATTCTCTTAAGAAAAGTATGTAGACAGTAGCTCCTATATATATAGATATGAGCTCTTTGTATAACCAAGAGAAAAGCATGAATATAAATTACCAATATCAGCATGTTATACTATAATATAAGTAGAAAAATATATATGTGAATGTATTTGACCTTGAGAATCTACCAAGAAAATCTTATAAAACATACATAACTCCAAGAGAATATAAGAGAATTTAGTGCAAGTTTGAAGAAATAATTACAGACAAAAAGTCCATATATGACAGAAAAAACAAGGAAATCTTCTAAAGTCTAATAAAGAAATACATGCATAATTCCTAATCATTATTATGAAATATTAATAAAATAGTATAAAATATATCTTAACTGTAAAAATGTATATAGTGTCTAGATAAGCCAAAACACTAACCAAGTATGAGACAATATACACTATTATCAATAAAATATACATATGAAATAGATCAAAAATTGCAACAATTAACATTCCAAAAAAAATACTAAAAGTATAGTATTAATTTAAGCCAAGATCTTAGTTAATTTTACAACTAAAATTTACTCTTTATTCTTACAAATAGAGGCATCTCATAGTGTACCCACTCAGGTCCAACTTCTAACTGCTTTGCATCATAGCTATAGAAGAGAGGAGTTACTCTACAATAGTTCTTCTTTATCAACAGTCTGGAAAACAATCATGAGGCTTGAAGAAACAACTGCAAGTTAAAGGGGTAAAAAAATATTAGAGTAGAAAAATAATAATAAAGTAAAAATCAAATACACTGGTGGTAAATAAAGACAAATTGAGATAAGATATATAAGTGTATGGAGGCAAGTAGCATTGGGTAAGAGGAAGACAAGTTGAGATGTAAAATATAGTATAAGGATATAGAGTCAAGTAGCATTGACTGAGAGAAAAGATTATAAGCAAACCAGCCTTCTTAAATAAAATATAGTATAACATCATTAAGAGGTTTTGTTATAAGGGTCATAATTTGGACTATTCTTATCTACTAAGACATAGCACTAATCTTTCCAAATGTGCAATAGTACTCAGTACCTCAACTTTGTAGTCATAAAAACTGTTTTTAAAAGACGGTTGTAAGAATGCTGTATTTACAGGCTTGTTTATTAAAAATTGCTATTCCTAGCTTCATAAACTTTTAGTATCTACCTTGCCCTCAAATCCCAAAATCTAAGTACATAAATTGATGGCTGTGCTCGCTCAACTATGACCTGGCCAATAGAGATCATGACCCCATAGAGTAAATATTAGGCCCATAGCTCTACCCTCAAGAAAGTCTTTAAGAACGTCCATCGCCGCCTGTCAGATCTCTTCACTGTTTGTGCACCCCCCTTGCTGTCCTTCTTCACTTTTTTGATTTTTCTGATTTTTCTGATTTTTCTGTCCCTGCATTGGCCCTCGCTGGCTTTGGTGCCTTCTTTTTCCTCTAAACCCAACCAAACAAACAATACTCTACAGTTTCATTGCAACCCCAAGCTAATAAAAAAAGTATATAGTAAAAAACACAACGACCGAACTGGGACTCGAACCCAGAGCCTCAGTCTTAGGAGGACTGCGCGCTACCATTGCGCCATCCGGCCACACACTGAGTTTGCGTCATATTTCCCATACATGAGCCTACCATTACTTCTTCAGGAGCTCACATAAGCCCCAACATTAGCGAAATAGAGATATCATACCGCCTTCTCTTTCCACACTCTTGCCCGGGGTGGCCGATATAATCCGAGCTCTAGCGATTGTTAACAGTTCGCCGCCGCCCTCACCAAATGTTGCCACGAAGTCCCTAGCCAGATCAAGGGGGGTTGACAAAACGGCCTCTGAGTGGGGGGGGTTCGCCAAGGCTGATTCAGGGCAAATTTCCTATTTTCTACTTGCACATCTTTTTCCGCACGAATTCAGCGTCTTTTCCCCGCAATTGAACCTGCGGGCAAGACGGTACTGGAGATGAAGATATGCTGGCGGCAGTGACGGGATATATCCTAAATTTCTCGTAGCCCCCTTTTTTGCCCTTTTTACATCATCCGGTGTAGTTTCAATTCAGTTGTCATGGTGTGTTTTCTGACACAACTTTCTGCGGACCCCTCCTGGACCTCAAAACGGGGCGGTTCACAGCCGCGAGTCCCAAGGTCTCCATTGATTTTCATCGCTAACCCTCCCTTACATCTACTCGTGTAGAAATCACCTGTAGTAGCATTCACAGCTGCAATTCCGTGACCGGCACCGGCACGATGGAGCGATGAGCACTTTCCCCTGCAGTGTTGAAATTGTGGAATTTACCTACATGACTCTGGAGATGCGGTAGCCCGATCCAATTAGTGGTCTTTACTTTTACTGGCAGAACCAACCCAACAAATCGGCGATACCAGCATGTGACCCTGAATACGGTTAGCGTATACCGATATATCATACCAAGCACCTCCCAGTGAATGATGATCCCAGATTAAGCATACAAACTTTCAAGGACAATAGAATATACAGCTCATGACAAACGACTAGCCGGTTCCACAATGCCACCAACTATTCGAACTTGTGAAGGAAGGAGAAGTTTCCATGATAGGTTCGCTGCTTGGATTGAAGGAAAAGGGTTCGTAACGTGACCCGAACGTACTGACATTGCTCGACTACCCTTCCTAGAATGGCCCGGAGCCAACCGCACTACCGCATCACAGCTTAACTTTTAGTGTGGTGTAAGTTAGGGAAACCCGGTATTATCAACACTGTACTCGAGTACTCAAGTACCGTAAAAACTCGAATAGAAGAAAAATGTGCTAAAGGGTTGAATTAAGCTCAGCTGCTAAAAAAAGGGGGAATGGCGTCAACTGTAAGGCCATGACTCATTCAAAACAAACACTTTGACCTAGGAGTTCAACCTCATCTCATCTCCCACAGAGTCATAATCGTGTAAGTAGNTGCAACGATTCCTAGGAATAGTGAACTATGTGGCCCAGTTTCTTCCACACCACGCTACATTGACGGCACCACTAACCAACTTAACAGGAAACACCGAATTCATATAGACAACAACCCACCAGACCGCATTCGAGATGGTCCGGAAACGGATACTCGACCACCAAGTCATGAGACCAATAGACATTCGAAACAAGGAACCGATTTGGTTAGTTACAGATGCCTCAGATTTAGGAGTTGGAGCATGGGTGGGACAAGGACCCACTTATAAGACGGCACAGCCAGCCGCGCTACACAGCAGAAAGTTCACCAATCCTCAGATGAACTATGGGACCACTGATAAAGAGGTCTTAGTGATAGTGGTAGCGCTTAATCAGTTTCACAATGTACTGAAGGGAAATTCCTTCCCGATAGTTACAGACCACCAACCCTTAGCGCACCTGTGAACGGCTAAGAACCCTAGCAGGAAACAGGTGAGATGGCCAAGTGCCTTGGGAAAATACGACGCAAAGATAGTCTACGCACCGGGAAGCACAAACTATTTAGCTGATGCCCTTTTCCGGATATATGAAGGAGAACCAGACTTGAATCCACTCTATGTCTACGACCATACGAAAGAATCGGATGACATCTCCGATAACACGGTCTACAAGCAAGGATCAAACACAATGGAGCCCATGCAGGAGCTCTCCCCTACTTCCCTCCTTTCTCCTATACGGAGTACCCCAACAAGACCGCTGTACCCCCCGAAAGCCCCTGCTCAATTAGTGCAGGAAACGATTGGAGTGACCAGTGTACACTGCGAAGTACGCTACCCGAAAAACTCCAACATAGCGCACTGCACTATTCACACTGTTACGTGAATCATTGCCCATATCATCAAACCGAGATCAGGTTTATGAACAACCATCCTAGACGATGGGGAAGGTCGACCCCTTACCCACCTAGTGAAGAACCGAGCCCCCCAAGTACGGAAATTGACCCGAGCCCTCCAGAGTCTCCCGAAATAAATGACTGGGAATGGCAACAAACCACGGGCGAAAGACCAATGAGTGCAGGAGAAGGGCCGTCCACCCTTGCCCAGCCAACGCCCAGGTCATATGCAATTCCAGCACTGCTAAACCCGGAGGCCCCAGCATTCCAGATGCTGGAACCAGAACCACTAGAAAACCTTACGACCAAAATGATAGCGGCATTCCGAATGCCAGGACCTGATAGCCCAACACCGATTAGACGAGCGGAGCGGCTTGAGAGCCTTACCAATCAAACAATAGTCTCAGTAATGCCCCCGACAATGACAGAGTACCAGCGCGGACTTTACGATGTCTTAGAAGACAACGAGGAGGACGACCTACCTGAGACAACCGGAGGAAGCAAGATAGAAGACGAACGCGACACCTTACAGATGGTCAATGAAATGATCGGAACGTTCCGAGCACACATGGTAGCAGCATACCGGAAAGAACCAATTTGGAAAAAGGTAAATGAGAATATGGATTCCACAGGAGACTTGTCCTCTTACAAGGTTGCAAACGGAATGCTATACGCAAAAACCAGATACGGAGAAGACTGCCTGTATATCCCGAAAGGCCCCGCATACGGAAACACAACATTGAGGGAATATGTTATTAGCGAAATTCACAACAAGGGCCACCACAGTGTTGAACGAAACTTGCGATACGCAACGGAGTACCTATTTTGGCCTGAAATGCGGAAAGACTTTAGAGCGTATATAGCCCAGTGCCACACATGCCAGGTGAACAAGGAACCTACGAAATTGCCAGAAGGAAGGGCTCAAACAATTGCCCTGCCATCAGAAATCTTCGAATCAATAGCCATTGATTTTGCAGGACCATTCCACAACTCATGGGGATACGATACGATTCTGGTGGCGATGGATAGGTTTTCAGGATTCACGTGGCTTATACCTACAACGAAGCAAGTAACAGCAATAGCAACCTGGGAACTGCTACGTAACAAAATATTTACACCCCATGGCTACCCAACATCTCTAGTGAGCGATGCGGACCCAAGGTTTGAATCACATGTGTGGAGACAACAGTGCCGATCGTTAGGCATTGAACACATCAAGGCGGCACCAGGCCATCACGAAACCAATGGACAGGTCGAAAGGAAAATCCGAGAATTGAAGACAGCTCTCCGAAATCTAGTCAACGCCAGACAAAATAATTGGTTTGATGCCATACCAGAGACAGCAGCGTACCTGAATGCGGGATGGTCAGAAACTCTCGGCATGTCACCATATAAAGCCATTTTCGGAAAGAATTACCCACTACTACCCCTAGCAAACTTCAAAAATTCCGCAGTACCGGCAGCCGACGAATTACTAAACAGGCACCAAGCGATCCGGAACGCGGCTTTCAATGCGATTAAAATGGCACGGTTTAGAAGTACGAGAACGGCAGCAAAACGACGCAGACACCATACACCGATAGGGAAGGGAAACTTGTTACTAGTATATGGAAGTTTGTTCGCAACAGAATCGGGACGGAGCAAGAAACTGCAACCACGCTGGCGTGGACCATTCAAGATAATCGGATACGATGAGCATACACAAAACTACACGGTCGAGATGGATGGCAGAATGTACAGAAACCGAGAAGCGACATTTCATGCTTCCACCGTGAAAAGATACCGTCCGAACGATGACATTTCTTTTCCTGCAAGGAGCCACGCAAAACCACCCCCAATCGTGGTAAACGAGAAACCGGAATGGGAAGTGGAAACCATACGAGACCACCGAAGACGATATGACCGTGACCAGTTCCTAGTGAAATGGGTAGGGTACCCGGAAACAGAGAATAGCTGGGAACCCCTTGAGGGATTGGAAAACGCGATGGAAGCGGTTAATCGATGGTGGGAAGACAACAAACCAGAGGACGAGCTACCCCCTACGATAAACCATGTGACGGTGGCATGGAGCCCAACCCTACCAGAAATCCAACATCTGCGCCCAGACACAGACCAAGGGATACAGGATGGATTCTGGTCAGCCCACTTCGAAAGCGACTTCGAAAGCAGCGAAGATGAGAATCGGGTAATGGAAGATGAAGCGGCATACCTAGCCCAACTGGCCGAGGCGGAGTACTGGCAATAACAAAAGAAAAGAACACTCCATCCAACAGCCTTACGATGTCAAACTATGAGCAAGTACCTTGGAGACTGCGCCATCAGCTTATGGGACTGTTGGTGAACCGTGATATTATCCCTAGACAACACCTTACCCACCGACTATTCATACACATCTGCAACAAATGCTTAGAAATAACAACAGAATCGACGGGACGAATGTGGGGAGAATCAGTGTCAGATATTTTCCGCTTCGATAGCGGGTGCTACCTGAGCACAGAAAAATGTGATTGTTGCATGGAGACGGAAGGAACCGAAATTAAGCAGCAACCCCCTTTCTATGAAGACCTAAGCGAGGCCAACACCTGAGTGAGGCCAACACCTAAGCGAGGTCACCACCGAAACATAAATACCGTCCACCACCCCTCTCAATCCGCCAAAGAAAACTGACGACATGACCAAACCTCCAAACCCTGACACTTTTGCAAACATTTACCCTATTACAAACCGCTACCACTCACAAACCGTATCCGAAAGAAACGAAATGTCGAACTACGAAGAAGTCAGCATAAAAGGGCGAGAT